CTGATTTCTGATTTTTACCACCTCTGAGAGGAATTTTGCCACAGCCAGTATAATGGTATCAATTTTATCCTCAAGGGGAACATTGATGTGAAAAGAGTAAGAAACCGGTGAATGTCCACTTCCAATTAAGGCCTGGTGGAGTGCTTTGAAATATTGGCATATAGGGCCTATGAGAACTGGCTACTCCTTCATTTGGTAAATTAGGAGTACAGGAGCAGGTCCCAGTATCCTCCAGGTTGAACATCCCCAACTGCCCTCCATAAGGCTTGGTTCTCAGACCCTGGATCCTTCTGAAACTGTGGTGCCCAGAACTGGACACAGGACTCCAGATGGGTTCTGACCAAGCCTGTTGCCCTCAGACCTGTGTTCTGCATGTGGGATGGGTGGGCATGATCTTGTTCTTTGACTCTCAGACCAAAATGTCTTGGGTCAGCCAAGAAGGAAGCGAAAGACAGCAAATCCTCTGAAAGAGCCCAGTGTGGAAAGGGCCCAGCATCAACAGGTAAAAAGTAAAAGGTAAAGGACCCCTGGACAGTTAAGTCCAGTCCAAGGAGACTCTGAGGTTGTGGCGCTCATCTCACTTCCAGGCCGAGGGAGCCAGCGTTTGTCCACAGAAAGATTTCCGAGTCATGTGGCCAACATGACTAAACCACTTCTGGCGCAATGGAAGCCAGAACGCACGGAAACGCAGTTTACCTTCCCGCTGCAGTGGTACCTGTTTATCTACTTGCACTGGCGTGCTTTCGAACTGCTAGGTTGGCAGGAGCTGGGACAAAGCAACAGGAGCTCACCCCATCACAGGGATTCGAACCACTGACCTTCTGATCAGCAAGTCCAAGAGGCTCAGTGGTTTAGACCACAGTGCCACCCACGTCCCCAGCACCAACAAAGCCAAGGCCATACACCTAAAGCATGTTTAAACAATTTATATCATTTTAACTGTTACAGCTTTCCCACAGAGAGTCCTGGGAATTGTAGTTCACTCCTCACGGTGCTACGATTTCCAGCCCCCTTAACAGACAGCAGTTCCCATGATTCTTTGGGGGAGGGAAGCTACCACTGGTTAAAGTGGGATAAGAAGGCTTTGAACGGATGGTGTGTTGTTGACCCATGAGAAGGACTGGTTCTAACACTTGGGTCAAATATTTGCCTCACTCCTAAGAGATCATCTGTGGCCCACACCTTGAAGACAAACACGTCTGGACTTTTCTCTCATCTCTGAGTAAACTCTGTTTAGCAAACAACAAGCATTCATTGTTTGAAGTTTGGAATTGAATCCCATGGTTGATTACCCACTAAATACCAAATGCTTTCAATCTCAGGAAATCAGAAGAGGGTGGAGGTGTGTCTTGTCTCCTTGCACCTTCACTAAGGGAAAATTCCCAGTCAAATGGTATGATGTAATACCACACTTTGGGATTCTTAGCAATGACAATAAAGTTTTTTTTGTTTTAAGAGAAAGATGGAGTTTTATTGTTTCTGTGATTGCGCATCAGGGTCTCGTACCAGCAACACAAGGGAAGAGTTCTTCGTGCTCTTTCTAAACTGGGTGTTATCTTTTGTGAGAACGGTCCCTGGTTGCTGAATTACAGGTTTAGGGGTTTGAGGAGTTATTGCTGAAAAATTGATCCCTGATTTCTGCTGCATCCAGGCAGTTTACAATACAGTGGTACCTCGGTTTACATACACTTCAGGTTACATACGCTTCAGGTTACAGACTCCGCTAACCCAGAAATAGTGCTTCAGGTTAAGAACTTTGCTTCAGGATGAGAACAGAAATCGTGCTCCGGCAGCGCGGCAGCAGCAGAAGGCCCAATTAACTAATGTGGTGCTTCAGGTTAAGAACAGTTTCAGGTTAAGAATGGACCTCCGGAATGAATTAAGTACTTAACCCGAGGTACAACTGTACATGAAAATGTCTAGGATTGGCTTTCATCAGCCATGTGATGTGACCCAACCTTAATTTTGAAGGTTAAAGATTGGGCTGAGGCTTATTTGAATTCTAACTCAGAAATGTCCTATAGAAAAGGACCCCTCCGCTACTCAGCATTTTAAAAATTTGACAGTACAAGGACTAGCTAGTAATATTGGAGGACCATCACATTCAGTTTGCCCCGAGTTTCCTAGTACTGTAGAGGAATTGACCGCCTCTCCTGGTATGCCCCGCGGAGGACCTTAAGGTCCACAAATGACAACAAGCCGCAAGGTGGTTAGATTGGTCTCAACTAGGGCCAGGGCCTTTTCAGTACTGGCCCCAACTTGGTGGAATGCTCTGTCACAAGAGACTAGGGCCCTGTGGGACTTGACATCTTTCCGCAGGGCCTGCAAGACAGAGCTGTTCCACCTGGCCTTTGGTTTGGACTCAGTCTGACCCTTATGTTTCCTTCCCCTTATGGTTTTGATTTATGGGCTGCTATTAAAACGAGGCTGCATATTAAATTGAGACCGGTTTGGCTGGGGAGGGCGGGATATATTATTATTATTATTATTATTATTATTATTATTATTATTATTTACTGCTTGTGTATTTTTCCTTATATCTCTGCAAACAAAGAGGGATAGGAACTTGTTTCTAAGTGTCTCAATGAACCACACAAGAGTTCCAGAAGGGCCTGGGATGTCTCCACACACCTGCACGGTCTATGAGGACCCCACAAGCCGGGTGGCAGAGAGAGGCAGCTGTTGGGTTGCGTCAAGCGTAAGGATGGAAGGATCAGTCAATTTTGGGACCCTCAGCTCCTCCTTTTTCCAATCTTACATTTACACTGGTCAGAATCCAGAGAAAAGAGTGAAGAAATCACTGCAAAGAAATGGCCATCAGTCACCCTGCCAGAGGGATCTTTACTTAGAGAGGATACTCAGCCTCGTATGTAAATATGTAACAAAAAATATTTAGCTTTCTCTCGAGCTTCCCATAAACCCAAATGAGAAAAATAAATGTTTGATTAGAGTGATGTGTATTTGCATAATTCTCACAGCTAGCTATATAAGGTCTGGCGATTCCTTGCTCCTTACCCATCTTGGCCTGGATTCCAGTTTGGAGCCACAACCATGAGGTTGCTTGTGAGTACCTTCCTCAATTTCAATCTCAAGGGTGAAGTACAGATGTCCATCTCTTGGGCTTTGCTCTCACTAGGGAGAAAGTTGTCACCAGGTGCTCAGAGATCAGGCCAAACTAGCTGAAGACTCAGTTGCTCACAGGTGTGTGATGGAAGCAGATGTAGTCCGTAGGAGTTCTAGGATTTTTCAAGGAGGTGGAACCCTAAGACTTGTGGGCTTCAGCTGCCCCTATTCACCAGCTGGGTTTTTAAAATGTCTTTTGGTACCCGTGAAGGTCATCACTTCTTTTGTTGTTGTTGTTTAGTCGTTTAGTCATGTCCAACTCTTCGTGACCCCATGGACCAGATCACGCCAGGCACTCCTGTCTTCCACTGCCTCCTGCAGTTTGGTCAAACTCATGCTGGTAGCTTCGAGAACACTGTCCAGTCATCTCGTCCTCTGTCGTCCCCTTCTCCTTGTGCCCTCCATCTTTCCCAACATCAGGGTCTTTTCCAGGGAGTCTTCTCTTCTCATGAGGTGGCCAAAGTATTGGAGCCTCAGCTTCAGGATCTGTCCTTCCAGTGAGCACTCAGGGCTGATTTCCTTAAGAATGGAGAGGTTTGATCTTCTTGCAGTCCATGGGACTCTCAAGAGTCTCCTCCAGCACCATAATTCAAAACCAGCACCATAATTCAAAACATCACTTCTTGGGTCTCCTCAAATAACCGAATCCCTGATCATTTCCACTACAAGGCAACTGCAAAAGTGCATTTTGTCCAGGAAATGCTGAATGTTTGGCCCAAGGCAGCCTTCATTTTTAGGAATCCCTGCAGACCCAGACGCTTCAAGTGTCCAATTCGCCAGGGACAGTCCCAGATTTACAGAAGCTGTCCTGGTTTCTGATTTAACCCTGGAATGTCCCGCTTTTCCTTAGGACGTTCCTATTTTCGTTGGAGGATACGCAGGCTTGAAAAACATTACGCTATGGAACCAGATTTTGGTTGCTGGTCTCGTTCTGGATATTTTTTTTAAAATCCCAAAGACATTCTGGATTTGATCTGAATCAGCTGGTCTTTACATTGTTTCATGAAATGAGAGGAGTAATGGAGATACAGAACACCCCTTGCCATTGCAAAATAGATTCATTTGCAAACATTAGTAGCAGTAGTAATAAGGTTTTAGTTTTTAAAATATTTTTATTAGTTTTAAGAATAGCAAAATACATATTCAACCAGCATAACTTGTATAAGCAATAGGTAATGCAAGAATGCCCCTTTTACAGTACCAAGAAATAGATGTAATTTTGATTTTTTATTATTTTTTATTATTAATGTTATTATTTTTCACTGTAGGCATTCTGGTGATATTAATAAACTGGTATTATGCCATTTATCATCAGGAGTACAAGGTTCAAGTAAAAAGACAGTGCAAGACAGTCCTATCCACAAACAGGATGGCAACCTCTTATATTTTTGTGATAGCCAAACATTCCTATTTACTTCTGGAATCACGTGGAATTATTATCATTAGCATATTGTATAAAATCTCACCACACTGCACAAAAATCCTTGAATTAATTTTAAATGAAATGCTTTTTTAAAATGAAATTGCAATGTTCAACACATATTATTATTATTATTATTATTAATATACCATCCTTCATCCAAAGATCACAGGGTGGTTTACAACATAAACATCAGGGTTCTATTCAAGCTGGTGTTTCACAGACAAAGGAAATGTGTACTTGGCAATTTAAAATTTGACCCTCTTATTTTCCTTCCGCTCTGCAGATTCTTCTTGCCAGCCTCCTGGGGCTGCTTATTCACTCAGCGATTGCCAGCAACGTAAGTAGCCAACTTTGCTCCCATTTCTGCCTTCCTGCCCCGAAACCTCTCCTGCTGCTAACCTCTGCATGCACAAGTGGCTTGTTTTAATCTGTTTTTAGTCAACTGTTATTTTAAATGCTTGAATGTCTTAAATTCTTGCTCCCAATTTATCTTAGGGATAATTTTATTGCTTTATCATTTTCGGTAAACCTCTCTTGAGGTTTTATGTGTGTTTGCGCATTTTTACGATCAAGCGGTGTTACACATTTTATGAAATAAATAGATAGATAGATAGATAGATAGAATGCCACAACAAACTTAAGTAAAAAAAAGGGAGAAATGGGACTCAGCCTTTTTTCCAATTTTTTTTATTAATTTTCCAAATTTATAACAAACATAAACAGACAAACAAACAAACAAACAAACATGAATCTTAACTGTAATATTTCCACTTTTGTTAACATTGTTGGATGACTTCCTCGAATCCCCCTGGCTGAGTTTCTATGTATATCATTGTAACAGTTTTCCAAAACTGTTTTCACATAAAATTTACTTAGTCAATTAACATCTTTCTTTCTTTTCATTTTATCTTTAAACATATTATTCTGTAACATCACATATTTAAATCCTAGGCCAATCTGGTATTTGCAAGTATTTCTATTTAGATTATCTTAGCATATTTAACTAAATAGTCTTTAAATTTCTTCCATTCCTCCTGGTGCTCCTCCTCCTCCCGGTCACGGGCTCTTCCGGTTAGGTCAACTAGCTCCCAAAAGTCCATCATCTTCATCTGCCATTCCTCCACTGTTGGCACTTCTTGTATTTTCCAGTTTTTAGCCAGCAAAATTCTAGCAGCAGTTGTGGCATACAAAAACCATCTAGCATCTTTCTTGGGCAATTCCAAACCTATTATTCCAAGAAGAAAGGCCTCTGGTTTCTTAATAAATGTATATTTCAACATTTTTTTCAGTTCATTATAAATCTTCTCCCAGAAGTCTTTCACCTTGGGACAGGTCCACCACATATGATAAAAAGTACCTTCTTTTTCTTTACATTTCCAACATATATCACTCTTATGGTAAATCTTTGCTAATTTTACAGGGGTAAAGTACCATTTATACATCATTTCCATGACATTTTCCTTTAACACCGTACATGCAGTGAACTTGATCCCTGTCCTCCACAACCTTTCCCAGTCTTCAGGAATGGGACTCAGTCTTGTCCAGAAGCCATGTGACTCCATTTGCAAGACTTGCCTGAGACAGATCAGTTGGTCAAAACCTGTTATATGAGTTAAGTCCCTGGGATGAGGTCGGATCTCAGATCAGCGGTGAATTCACCAGCTGGCAATAAATGAGCCACTTACTTCCAGGAATCTGTAAGGATGCCTGAAATGATGTCAAAGATCAGGTGACCAGGGCTCTTCTGTTATGACTCCCTGACCGAAGAATATTCTCCCCCAGGGATGTTCTGGACTACATCTCTGATTCACTGCAGCATCCTACAGTCCTGCTGGCCCGGGTGGTGGGAATTGTCGTCCAAAATATCTGGGTGACAGGGTGTTATGTACTGAGTTGAATAGGATCCAAAATGCAGCAATCTGATTGGTCCTAGAACAATAGGATTCAGAATGCAGTCTGAGTATATTTCACACGGGGAGGCACCACTCTAGGAAAGGCTGTCCAAAGTTCAGTCCCTGGCCATCTCCAGTCAGGCAGATAATAATAATAATAATAATAATAATAATAATAATTTATTATTTATACCCCGCCCATCTGGCCATAGCTGTCAAGCGTCCCTTATTTGGCGGGACAGTCCCTTATCCCAGTGCCATGTCCCGCTGCTGTCGCTTATTGATGATGTCCCTTAAATAAGCTACTGAAGGTAATGGGGCCCTTTCTATGTCCAGCTAGCATATATTTGTGTTGAATATATGCTATATGGTAATTTATGGACCTAATAGGTATCTAAAGCCATTTGCACGCAACAAAATATGTATTTTATCAAAGTAATTGTTGATCCCTTATTTTCGAGGCTGCTGGTCCCTTATTTTCGAGGCTGCTGGTCCCTTATTTTCAAATCTGTAAGTTGACAGCTATGCATCTGGCTGGCCAGTCCCTCCTGGCTGGACCAAGTGATCTTGTTTTCTGGTCTCCCCAAAGTGCCTGGTAGGAGTCTGATGGTGGATCTCTGTCTCTAGGCTATCCAGCTCATAAACAAGGGAAACGATGGAGGAACCGTGTACCAAACAGTCAACATCAACCACAACACCAACGTCGCTGCCTTCAACATTTACTCTGGAAGGCATTCCACCAACGCCATTGTGGACTACAACAGCGTAAGTTTCAAAGCAAGCCGTTCAGCCACAAAGCTGTTCACTCTGTGTCGGATACTCCCTTTGTCTTGGGGTGGGATCTCCCCGCAGCAGCTAGGCAAACCTGTTAAACTCTCCTGAAAGGGGTGCATTTTGCTGCCTCAGATGAAGGAAAAGATGGTTCCCCCATTGGGGAGGGGTGCAGTCAGAAGCCGTGTTATACACCTCGCATAAACCGGTGTCTACCACTTATTTTATTATTATCTTATTTTATTTCATTGCGTTCATATCCCACCTTTTTCTCCAAGGAATCGAAGGTTCTCTCTCTCATTTAATCCCCGCAACAACCCTGTGAGGTAGGTTAGGCTGAGAGGCAATCACTGGCCCAAGGTTACCCAGGGAGCTTCATGGCCAAGTGGGAATTCGAACCCTGGACTCTTGCAGGTCCTGGGCCAACACTCTAACCCTGACCTAGCCACTGTGATCCATGCGAAGGTCACCTCCAGGCTTGATTATTGTAACTCGCTCTATGTGGGGCTGCCCTTGAGACTGACCCAGAAACTCCAGCGGGTGCAGAATGCCGCGGTGAGACTCCTTACAGGATCACATTCACCTAGTGCTTTACCAGCTACACTGGCTCCCGGTGGAGTACAGGATCAGGTTTAACTGGTTTTAACCGTTAAAGCCCTATACGACCTAGGACCCTCATACCTACGGGACCGCCTCTCCTGGTATGCCCCACGGAGGACCTTACGGTCTTCAAACAAAAACATCTTGGAGTTCCTGAGCCACAGGGAGGTTAGGCTGGCCTCAACCAGAGCCAGGGCTTTTTTGGCTGTGGCCCCAATCTGGTGGAATGCTCTGTCACAAGAGACTAGGGCCCTGCGGGACTTGACATCTTTCTGCAGGGCCTGCAAGACAGAGCTGTTCCACCAGGCCTTTGGCCAAGGCACAGTCTGACCTTTGGTAATCCTCACAGAACTCTAGCCCAATGGTTGCCATTGATTTGATTCTGAATTGATTTTAGAATGAATTGGTTTTAGAACGTATTTCAATTAATAGATTGTGATTTTATGTAAACTGTGTTACTTTTACTGTTGTTAGCTGCTCTGAGTCCAGCTTCGGCTGGGGAGGGCGGGATATAAATAAATTATTGTTATTGTTATTGTTATTGTTATTGTTATTGTTATTGTTATTGTTATTGTTATGATGCCACACTGGTGCTTGTGGGGCTGGCACTGGCTCTCTCTTATGAGGTTGTGGTTTTTCAGTACTGTACTGAGTCCTCATTTTATTCTTTGATTTTGAACTTTCCTGGGGCCATCTCTAGCATAACATATATTTGCCGTTGTGTCTCCCAGGGGGTTGTCATCTATCACATGCCTTTCAGGAGGCTATGTGTCATGTCCAGGATGAATCGGCAAAGCTTTCCAAGTATCTCAAATCTCGAGAGCATGATGCACGAGGTATGTCAAGGTGGAGATACAAAACTGGGGCTGGCCCCCAAATATATGGGGTGCACCAAACGGTGCACCGCCCCCTCTAATGAAGGAATCTGCGGGACAGAAATCAGTGGGAGGAATAATAGAATCACAGATCACCAAGCCCCACACCTTGTAATGCAGGAAGCAGAGCAAAAGTATCGGACAGGCGGCCAGCCAATCTCTGCTTAAAAACCTGCAGTGAAAGAAAAAACATTTATAAAAACTTATGTAAACTTTTATTTACCAATTTATTGATTTAAAAAAGAGCACATACTTCAATAACATACAAGAAGAAAGAGAATGAGAGAGAGGAGGAAAATACAACTGAATTAAAAATAAGCATACACACACTGTGGCAGATTTGGGAGGTTCCATTCACAATCCCATAATAGTACTATTATTGGGGGTGGGGGTAGGAACATTGTCTTCCCTCAATTTTAATTATTTTATTTCATTGCATATAACAATACGACTGTTCGAGAGGTACCAATTTTTTAATCCCAGCTTTCCCCTTTGAGTGCCCAGAGAGGCTACTGGCAAACAGAAAGGTAGAAACTGTACCATCTCTTAACCATTCTCAGGCTTTCTAGCATTAAAACTACTGGTCTGGAAGCAAAGCACCGCAGCTAAGCGCTGTGGAATAACACACACAAACAGACTCTCTCATTCGTGTGTGTGTGTGTGTGTGTGTGTGTGTGTGCTCACTTACCTGCCCCCGATACTTTTTTATTTTATTTTTTTTATTTTCAATGCAAAATTACAACAAAAATTACAAACATTGAATCCAAAATAAAGCAGTACAAACAAGAAAAAAAAACACAAGAGAAATAAGAACACAAAAAACCACACATCTACAAATAAATCCATATCATCATTCTAATCTAATCATTACATACATATACACATATTGACTTCCTTTGTTCTAAGACCTCAAAATTTTTACTCTTTCTAAGTTGTTGTACTTCATTCAAGTTGGCACCCCTGGACCTAGGCATGAATGGATCTGTCCTTTTGTTTGTTTTTGTTCCCAGGGGCATCCCTTAAACACCCTTCACAGAAGCTATGGGATTTCTCGCAAGGTGGTCACAAACATCGCTGACTATGGTGCCCCCGCCCAAGCCATTTGTGGAGGCATGACTACTTACTGGGCTACCGAGTTCCAAAGTGAGTTGGGCCAGAATTTCAGAACGTTTTTAAGGGACGACCACACGTTTTAACGGCTTTTGTAGTGATGCGTTGAGGAGATCTTCACGTTACATTGGTAACTCCATTGGTCTCACCCTCTTTTAAAGCCTCCTAGGTTGGTGGGTAGGTTGAAGGGACGTGGGTGGCGCTGTGGGTTAAACCACAGAGCCTAGGACTTGCCGATCAGAAGGTCGGAGGTTTGAATCCCCACGATGGGGTGAGCTCCTGTTGCTCGGTCCCAGCTCCTGCCAACCTAGCAGTTCAAAAGCACTTCAAAGTGCAAGTAGATAAATAGGTACTGCTCCAGCGGGAAGGTAAACGGCATTTCCATGCGCTGCTCTGGTTCGCCAGAAGCGGCTTAGTCATGCTGGCCACATGACCCGGAAGCTGTATGCCGGCTCCCTCAGCCAATAAAGCGAGAAGAGTGCCGCAACCCCAGAGTCGGTCATGACTGGACCTAATCGTCAGGGGCCCATTTACCATTTACATTTTTAGGTTGGTGGGAGGGAGTTCCACGGTTTAACTATGTCATTCAGCCTGGGCAGCGACAGTCACCTAGTCCGGAAGGGGGGGAGAGGGAACTGAGTGTGAAGGAGGGAAGGGCAGAAGCCCTAAATGAGCTAATGACAAGCCTGCCATTTTCCACACATAAATGATAATAATAATAATACAGTGGACGCTCGGGTTGCGAACGTGATCCATGCATTCGCAACCCATGTCTCCATGCACGGGCTGCGATTCAGCGCTTCTGCGCATGCGCAACTGCCGAAACCCGGAAGTAACCCGTTCCGGTACTTCCGGGTTTCGGCAGTCTGCAACCCAAATAAACGCAACCTGAAGTGGACGCAACATGAGGTATGACTGTAATAATAATAATAATAAATTTTATTTATATCCTGCCCTCCCCGGCCAAACTGGTCTCAGGGCGGCTAACATCAAAGTATAAAGGTAAAGGTAAAGGTACCCCTGCCCGTACGGGCCAGTCTTGACAGACTCTAGGGTTGTGCGCTCATCTCACTCTAGAGGCCGGGAGCCAGCGCTGTGTGCAGACACTTCCGGGTCACGTGGCCAGCGTGACGAAGCTGCTCCGGCAAACCGGCACCAGAGCAGCACATGGAAACGCCGTGTGTATATCAAAGTATATAATACATTAAAAATATAAAATCCAGCAATTGCCTGAAATACAGCTTAAAATCAGTTTAAAACACAGCACGCAATGGGGCTAAATTGGCAAAGGAAACATCCATCCCATTGCACTGACGGCAGGCAGCATGTTGTGAAGGAGCCCCCTTCATAAAAACCTAGGGCAGGCTTCCTCAACCTCGGCCCTCCAGATGTTTTTGGCCTACAACTCCCATGATCCCTAGCTAGCAGGACCAGTGGTCAGGGATGATGGGAATTGTAGTCACAAAACGTCTGGAGGGCCAAGGTTGAGGAAGCCTGACCCAGGGAGTGCTGGTTTTCTCTGTCCCATCAGAACAGCATTACAGGGATGATGGAGAAGGGGGCTACCAGTAGCTACTAACCACAGTGATTACGCTCTGCCTCCATGGTTGGTGGTGGCAATGGTTCTGAATCCCACTTGCTGGAAAAAGAGGCACATTTAGGGCAGTGCGACCGGTTCCCTTGCACTGGGCGCTGAACCTAGGGGGTGCCACAGGGCGCTGCAACTATGACGTAGTGAATTGAGCAGAACAGAAGGCGAGGTGTGTGGGGTGTGTGTGAATTTTTGCCTCACACAGGGCACTGCTGAAATCTAAAAGACCAAAGTCTGCCTCTGCAGGAAACCCCAGGAGAGTAGAGTTGCTCCTGCATTTGGTTTTGGTTTTTTAAAAAATAAATTACAGTGGTACCTCGGGTTACAGACACTTCAGGTTACAGACACTTCAGGTAACAGACTCTGCTAACCCAGAAATAGTAACTTGGGTTAAGAACTTTGCTTCAGAATGAGAACAGAAATTGCGCAGTGGCAGCGGGAGGCCACATTAGCTAAAATGGTGCTTCAGGTTAAGAACAGTTTCAGGTTAAGAACGAACCTCCAGAACGAATTAAGTACGTAACCAGAGGTACCACTGTATAGGTAGAAAAAGATGACTTCCCTGGATGCCAAGATACAGATTTGTGACAAGTACTCTTTGGTGACAGAAATCCAGCAGAGAGTTAAAATCGCAAAGTAAAGTGTCGAAATATAGTCTGTTAGACCTTTAAAATACCCTCTTCTAAGTTGCTTCCAAAGTTCCCCATTTCCCTAGCACAGAAAGAGACCACACATTTGGTAAGTTAAGAAAGGTTTACTTACAGACTCTTCAAACGTCAGGTTCATGTGCTTTTTCATATAGCAGTTAGAAAAACACAGGCAGTAAATTTAGGTTCCAATGTGGTGAATGTTCCTAAATTATTTGTATAGAAACCCAAAGATGGCTTGCTTAAGCCACAGAGTCTGAGCTTGGAACAACCAGTTCAGAACTCCTTACCAGTAGGGTTCACATGGTGGAAGAAATGGTGGGAAAGTGGAAGAACAAAGAGCTTGATAAGCCTCCCACCCCCAAGGTGAGGGGGAATGACCTCCTAGCTAAGCCTGGCAGGCCAGCTTACTCTATGACATTAACCCATTCATGCATTGATTAGACTTGAGCATGATGGTTATGTCACACAGGTCACGTTTGCGAGTTTCCCATTGATGTACTATATCTGGCTGGCCACTGTGAGAACAGGATGCAGACTGATCCAGCAGGCTCTCTCTGTGTAAATGGCCTCAGTCCTGTATTCTTGAAAGAGCATCTCCACCCCCATCATTCAGCCCGGACACTGAGATCCAGCGCCAAGGGCCTTGTGGCGGTTCCCTCACTGCAAAAAGCCAAGTTACAGGGAACCAGGCAGAGGGCCTTCTCGGTAGTGGCACCCGCCCTTCAGATGTGAAGGAAATAAGCAGCTATCTTATCTTTAAAAGACATCTGAAGGCAGCCCTGTTTAGGGAAGTTTTTAATATTTAAAACTGTATTGTTTTTAACACTCAATTGAGAGCCGCCCAGAGTGGCTGGGGAAACTCAGCCAGATGGGCGGGGTATAAATAAATTATTATTATTATTATTATTATTATTATTATTATTATTATTATGCATGTTTGGAAGTACAGATTATTTCATTTCTGAGAGAGTGTTTCGAGACTCCTGCTTGGCTCTCCATAAAAAGTTAATAAAAAGCAACAATGGAAAACTTCCTTTTCCTTTTCAGGGCCCCGCCCCTTGGTTGAAGGCAAGGGCTGCGCAGGCGTCAATCTGCTCATTCTGGACATCGACTTGTGTGGCGGCATCTCCCTCTTCTAGCCAGGATCAGCACCAACATCTGCTCCGGGCCAACACAACTTGTGACCTGCCCACCAAGACAATGGCCATCATGTCGCCTTGCCAGCTGTCAGGGCCAATTCCCAAGATTGGGTTGGGAAGGACACGGGAGGTCAAGGCCTGATGACCTCCCAACAATTGCTCTCTAATTTCATTTGAGGACTGGTTCCTGCAGGGGCCGTCAAAAATAAAATAAAATTTATAACTTAAATAAAGTAATTTAAAAATCCATGGCAGTGTATGCAGCCGTGTAAAGACACACCCCCCACGAAGCCCCATAGAATCATAGAATTGTAGATTGGAAGGGACCCTGAGGGACATCTAGTCCAACCCCCTGTGATGTAGGAATCTCAGCTGATGCATCCATGACAGATGGCCATCCAAACTATGCTTAAAAACCTCCGAGGAAGGAGAACCCATCGCTTTCCAAAGGAGTCTGTTCCACAGTTGAGCAGCTCTTACCGTCAGAAAGATCTTCCTGATGTTGAGTCAGAGTCTCCTTTCTTGTACCTTGAATCTATGCTACACTGGCTCTCAGTGCTACTACCACTACTGCCTAGAGGTGCCACCAGGGATTGGTCCTGGGACCTTCTGCATGCAAAGCGCTGTGACCATATTGCTACCCAGACTGTGAAATAAAAACCAGAAAGTCCAAAACTTTTCAAATCCAACTTCAGCAAAGAATTATGATGGAACCTTAGACAAATCACTGGTCTTTCATACACACACACACACACACACACACACACACACACCACACACACATTTTATTTGTTTTCCATTTAATATTATATATTCACATCATTATCCACTATACCACCCATCAACTTCCTTCTCTCCCACCTCATGGCTTTCAAAATTAACCTTTATATCATTGCAATTTATACGTTTTCCAATTCTAATTGCTCTCATTATAGAATGACTCAAAGTTCAAATAAATATAGAAAGATAGAGAATTCCTCATTACAAGTCTTTGGACAACCCTGCTAGTGATGTTAATTGCTTACAATGATCTTTCAGATATCAGATAAATTTACTCCAGTCCTTTTGGAATACTTGATCATGCTGGTTTTGGATTTTTCCTGTCAGCTTTGCCAGTTCTGCAAAGTCCATCATCTTCATCTGCCACTCTTCTTTCATTAGTACTTTTGTTGTTTCCATTTTTGGGCTAAAATAATTCTTGCTGCAGTCGTTGCATACATAAACATTCTTTAATCTTCCCTTGGTATCCCTTCTCTCACTATACCCAATTAAAAAGGCTTCTGGTTTTTTTAACAAAAGTATTCTTAAGCATTTTCTTTAATTCATCATATACTGGCAAAGACCAGTGACTTGAAATGGGAAATGGGGAACAAGTCACTAGTCTTCAGAGCCGTCTTCCCCATAGGGCTTAGTGGTGCGTTGTGCCAGGGCGCCAGCCTCTCAGGGGCGAGTGGGGGAAGCTGCGCGGCTTTGCCAGCGGCCTCCCCTTTCCTTCTTGCATGCCTGCCAGCTGCTCCCCGTCAAATATATGGCTGGCTGGCATACATCTTCCTCCCAAGCCTTTGCGGGAGAGCGATCCCTGCAGAGGCTTAGGATGGAAGCTGCGCCCCTGCTGTCAGGTGTGCGTGCAGGAGCCGGGCCCTGCGATCAATAGGACTCTGCAGGACTGGGGCATCCCAGTCTGAAGGGGGCATCCCCGGTTCTGAAGAGGCAAGGCTCTTGCCTCACAGGTGAGGCCGATTAGTAACTCACAGCACCTGGTGGCAAGAGCCGGGAAGGGATATAAGGTCAGCATTTTCCCTTCGGCTCTTTGCCACAGCAACACGTTCCCTGCCTTGCTGTGTTTGACTCCTTGCTTCTTGATCCTCAAACCCTGACTTTGTGACTCCTTGCTTCTTGCTTCTTGATCCTCAAACCCTGACTTCATGACTCCTTGCTTCTTGATCCTCGGCCCCTTGACTTTGTGACTCCTTGCTTCCTGACCCTCGGACCCTTGGCTTCTTGACTCCCGGCTCTCTGACCCTCTGACTCTTGGCTTCCTGACTCCTGGCTTCTGGACTCCCGTTCCTGCTCCCACCCCGCCATCTTGCCCCCGGTCCAGACGTCCCCAGCCGGGACTTTGATCGCCCGTGAACCAGACCGTGACACCCGCTAACTATATGGCTGGTGGGCGCGCAGCTTCCCTCCCAAGCCTCTGTGGGGATTGCTCTCTTGCAGCAGCATGGAGGAGAGTGGCTGGCAGTGCGCAGCTTCGCCCCCCTCCCACTATCCGTGGTAATTTGGGGATGCTGAGCGGATATTTGCACCCTGGCACCGCATATGCTAAAGACAGTCCTGCTGGTGTTTTATACTCATCATTTGTATTCATTTTCCCCCTGCACACAGAAAGCTAGTGGGTCTGGGAGAAGTGTTCCAGCCCAGGCTTCAATCCTGGGATGTGAGTTTTCTGTCTAGGATTTTTAAAACTCCACATTTCATTAAGAGAAGAGTTAAGGCACCTACAGCTCCATTCATGAAACCAAGATGCACAGAAAATTTCCAGGGAAGGCACCCAGTCTTAATTTCTGCACAGCACACGCAACAAGTGGATCACAGAGACTCACATCACGCACCACACCCACCCACAAGTTTTCAGACCCAGCCCTCTTCTTTTGCATATCTGCACAGAGCCATAATCCTATTAAAAAGTACAGTCATACCTCGGGATAAATGTGCTTCAAGTTAAGTATTTTCGGGTTGTACTCCGCGGTGACCCAGAAGTAACGGAGCTTGTTACTTCCGGGTTTCGCCACGCGCGCATGCGCAGATGGTCAAAATGATGTCACGCGCATGCGCGGAAGCAGCAAAACGCGACCCGTACATGCGCAGACGCACGTACGTGGGTTGCGTTCGCTTCAGGATGCGAATGGGGCTCCGGAACGGATCCCGTTCACATCCCGAGGTACCACTGTACATAAAAATTCAACCAAGGGGTTCATTAGGAACATTTTTCCAGATCTAAACTCATTTCTCTAATGGTTTTTGAGTAAGCATATTTGCTTCCTGTTTTGCTTGATAATTATTTTCTTATGGAGGGGGCAGGCTTTATGTTAGGGGGTGCAGAAGCGAGTTATCTGTGAGGCAATTTGTCAGTTAGGTATTTTTTATTTATTTACTTGATTGGGGGGCAGCTGCCCCCCCTGCACCCCCTGGCTATGCCCATGATAATACAATAGACAATGTTTATGTCAGATACACACACGTTCACACAGTCAGCTGCCATGGGTACAAATTTCGCTTGAGCCGCTGGATGTCGCCCTTGAGCTCTCTTGGGCTGCGTCTTGTTCAACTTTCCAGATTCGGTGCCTGTGAAGTTCTTCCCGCTTCCCCGATTTCCAGCAGGCGCCACTGAGGCCCGAAAGGAGCATCCAAGAAATGTCGGGGGGGGGGGTGGCGTGGGGTTGGGTTTTGTTTTCATTTTGAAACCAGGTGATCCTTAGGCTCGCACTCCTTCACTCCTTCCAAAAGCCTGGGAGCAGATTGCACCAAAAGCCCGCTGCCTGAGAAGGCTGGAATAATGACTGGGAACGAATTTTGCAGCAGGGCGAATTTTGCAAAGTAAGGAAACACAGGCTTGGGTTGTTGTTTTTAAAAAAAGACACACACACACCCTGGGTTCCACACATGGAGCAGAAAAGCAGCGCTGACCCTCAGCTTTGGTGCAAGAAAGTCCTTCTTAACGGCATTGTTCATCAACATCATCAAACTTTTTATTGGCATCACATTCAAACATCCAAAACAAATCAATTACCACTTCCCCAGCAGCACAAAACATTTGCTAAAAGAAAGGAGGCAGAGCAGTCTATCATCACATCTCTAGGTCTCCAGGGAGATCAGACGTCTGCAGTGTATTTTCGATGACAAAAAACCAAATAGAGATATTTAGCCACTAACTTGGTGAGCTCCTGAATGGCATTGTTAAACTGTGGAAGTCCCTTCCACGGGAGGCAGGCATGACCACCAACCTGAATGAATTTAGTTTAAAAGGGGATTCGACAAATAAATGGAGGAGAGGTCCGTTTGTGGCTACTAGCCAGGGCTCCCCCCCCCCCAGCTGGAACTCAGTTCTGGCACCAGGTGGGCGCCCTTGTCATTATAAGAGAATAAAGGAGGCGATGGATGAGCCTCACCCTGGGAAAACCTCCTTCATGATCAAGGTGTTTCCCCTCCCTTTTATTGATGATAATCAGCTAAATAGTTTGAGGGTCTATACAACTGTGTAACATGCAGAAAACAGCATTCTGAGACAAATCAAAGACTGGAACTGAGGGAAGCCGGGGGGGTGCGGTGGGAGGGAGGGAGGGAGGAAAAATGGGGGGGGGGATAAGGATATGTTTCTGGATAATATGTTTTGTTTTAATTTTGAATTTAAAAAAAGTTTTTTTTAAAAAAGAGAACAAAGGAGGCGTACCAGCTGCTGGAAAGCACGGGAGGAAGGGGAGAGGTCTCTTGGGCTCGGATCCTGCCCGCAGGTTCCCCCCAGGCCACGTCGAGCAGAGTTTGCAGGATCCGGCCAGGATCTTGCGCGCTGCCCCGTCCTTTGTGCGTTTCTCGCGTCCTCGGCCGCTAGATGCCGCCGTCGGGGCTCTTTTTGGGCTCGACGGCGGGGCAGGACCACCCCCACCCGGAGAGCAGCCATCCTGGGGAGGGGGAGGGAGAGCCTTCCCACATTCTCCGAAATCTGGGGCAAAGCCGGGGAGGGAAAGACCCGGGGAGAAGCCTCCGGAAGCCGCCTCTCGCCTTGCAGACGGCGGCGATGCTTCCTTGTGCGCGCTGCGAGGAGAAGCCCCTTTGAAAGGCGAGGAGGCTCCCAGCCCGCTGGGCATCATCTTCTGCGAACGGGGAGACCAGCCCTCTTTGCCTTGTGCGCGATCGTCCCCTCGGGTGTCCCGGCGCCGCGCAGCCCTGCATGGAGAGGGCGTGAGGAGGAGGAGGAGGAGGCGCGCAAGTGGCCCGGGGCTCGCTGGATCCTGCCCCCCATGGCTGCCCGCAAGCCGAGCCCCCCGCGCTGGGGCTGGCACGCTCTGCTCTTCGCGACGGTGCTGCTCGCCTGCGGCGGGCAAGGCAGGAGCCGGGAGGACGGCGGCGCCGCCTGCTACGGGGGCTTCGACCTCTACTTCATCCTGGACAAGTGAGTGGCTCTCGGGGGCGACCCGGAGGGAGCTTTGGGCAGGCTCCCCACGAGCTCAGGGGCATCAAAAGGCCAGCA